AGAATTTCATTCAGTATGTTAGTAGAAGGTTGGTAAATAGCAGAAGCTCAGAATAACAAATGGCTTCACTTGGACAGCAGCAGGGAGTGTTGGGTTGAATTTTGGTTTATTTGCTATCACTACTGTTCAGTGAAGTGTCTTGGTGAAACTAAGAAAGACTTTTTCTGCATTTGGAAGTGCTGGGCACGCATACAGGCCTCAAATACTATTTTTTTTCTGGGCAGCTGAATGAAAATTTTCATTAGAGGTCCATAGTGAAAAAGAACGAATGGAGATGCTAGCTTTTCAGAAAGGAATAGCAAATCATCGATTTTGATGAACAGAAGTTGGCTCACATTTTCAGTGCCATCTTCAATTTGAATTATTCCACTGCAAAATCAAAATGAAAACATAATGAAGATGCAGAGAAAGAATTTAATGTGGGATGAGTTTGAAAGGATTAGGCTATTTATGCAGACATATAACCTGAAGGTTATAAAGAAGATTGTTTTGATGATTTTATTTGTCTTTTCTCAAAATAAAAGAAAAAACAAAGGAAATACTGAATATGTTGGAATTGGAAATCATACCTGTGGAAGTCTCCAAATGTAGTAAAGTATGCATTATAGAGACAATGAATTCTGGAAATTTTTTTAACAAGCAGGTTTTTCTATACATAATAAAGCTATCTCCCGATGTGGTAATTCCATCCATTTCAGTGAATAAGCCAAACATCTACTGTAGCAGTTAGGGAGGAACTTCCTCTAAACCATGTTTTTTCACAATTTTCCATCAGATTTCAGAGTTTTTCTACCCGTTACTGCTGAGACAAGATCTCGGAGCAACTGAATAGTGATCTGATGCATTCTGACATTTTTTCTCCTTGTGATGATGATGGTCATTTCTATTGTCTCTTGGAAGCTAAATATATCCAGTAAGTATAGAGGAAGGGCTAGGAAGAAACTCCCCCAAAGATACTCAAAAGATGGGGAACATTTATATAGTAGTAAATGAAAAGGTTATAGTATGGTGAAATATATAGAGGGTTAATGCTAGGGAGGCGTCTGCTTCTGCTTATCATTTTTTTTTCTATAGGAGAGGCAGGAATAAATCAGGAAAAATACAGATTAAGTATTTTGTGCAACTTCATGCAAGTACATCACTGAAGCCAAAAGCTTTGTAGGAATACAGAAAAAAAAAAAAAAAAGTTTGTGTGTGTTTGTATAATGGGAATGTAAATAAAGATTTTTGATTTAAAGAAAAACTGTCATGCTTCAAGGAAAAATTGACCTCTTATTGGTGAGGCTTAGGAAGAAACTTCCCAGTTAGGTATGTTACACCTTTTGTTTTAGAAGGTTGTTTGACGTTGTTTAATTTTCTCAGTATCTTATAGTGTCTATTATTAGAAAATTGCCAACTAAGACAAACCAGCAGTTTGGTGAAGGTTGGGCATATCCATTTTTCTATTCTAAGATAATCTAATTTTCTGCCGGTACTGTGTGCAACTCAATTCAAAGCTAAAATGTTTTTAAAAGTAGTGGCACATCCTTGAGCCAGGTTATTGGCCTGAATTTCATAGTATAATTCATGTTGCTTGGAGTCAGTACATTGCATCCAGATTGAACAGCCAGTCCTCCAGGGTGGACAACAGGACAATCGGCAAACCCTTAGACTGAATACTAAGATACAACTCCCATTAATCATGAGACAAGGCTTACGTATGTAGCAGTAAAGTACACGAGTGGTCAGTTCTGCAAGTCCTATTTTCAGTTAGTGATGCCAGGGCAACTGGCTGTTCTACTGTAATTTTATACTTTAATGATAGCCCACCTATGCTATGGTTTTGGGCAGCTTCACAGGATGTTGTCAGCTGGTCACTAGTGGTGTCCCCCAGGGTTCAGTTCTGGGGCCAGTCTTGTTTAATATCTTTATCAATGACCTGGACGAGGGGATTGAGTGCACCCTCAGTAAGTTTGCAGATGACACCAAACTGGGTGGGATTGTCGATCTGCTCGAGGGGAGGAGAGCTCTACAGAGGGACCTGGACAGGCTGGATCAATGGACCGAGGCCAACTGTATGAGGTTCAACAAGGCCAAGTGCCGGGTCCTGCACTTTGGTCACAACAACCCCATGCAACGCTACAGGCTTGGGGAATGAGTGGATGGAAATCTGCCTGGCGGAAAGGGACCTGGGGGTACTGGGTGACAGCTGTCTGTATATGAGCCAGCAGTGTGCCCAGGTGGCTAAGAAGGCCAACAGCATCCTGGCTTGTATCGGGAATAGTGTGGCCAGCAGGACCAGGGAAGTGATCGTGCCCCTGTACTCAGCACTGCTGAGGCTGCACCTCGAATACTGTGTTCAGTTTTGGGACCCTCACTACAAGAAATACATTGCGTTGCTGGAACATGTCCAGAGGAGAGCCACAAAGCTGGTGAGGGGTCTGGAGCCCCAGTCTGATGAGGAGCGGCTGAGGGAACTGGGGTTGTTCAGCCTGGAGAAGAGGAGGCTGAGAGGAGACCTGATTGCCCTCTGCAACTGCCTGACAGGAGGC